AAATAAGATAAAAAAAAGATAACAAAATTTGTTTTAATTATATATATTTTATTATGTAAATAAAGTTAATTAAATCTGTAATACTTTCCACACTTTTTTATGAATGAAATCTTTAAACTATTTACCTTGATAATATTGACTCTGCTATCTGTATCTATAAACGGAAAGACGCTCGACATATATTCAAAAGCTTTGATCATAGGATACCATGCTATATAATTTGTCTCTTGTGCAAGATAGCTTGTCAAATTCCAGAATATAAAAGAATCAAGTTGTTGTGTTATCATAAAACGAAATGCGTCGTCGATGATTTTAGCACGATTGAGAACATGTATTTTTATATATTCTCTAGAGTTTAAATATTTTGCAATTCTTTGCCAGTTTTTACTATCGTAATTAACGCGATAGTACCCTGTAGTAAATAATTTTTATACATTATATGAGATCTTTCTAATTCAAAATTTATAAAGAAATATTATAATTACAAATTTAAAATTTTGTTATATTCTTTTGAGGACTTATCGAGAAATGTTTCTGCATATATACATCTTTTTTAAATGATTATAAATATATTGAAGGGAAAAATGTAAATTGTAGCATTAATTATAATATTACAGACATCTTATAAGTTATAACATTTTAGACTGACAATAGTGATTTCATGAAATTAAGTTATGTAAGGACTTGCAAAATAATCTATATTCATATCGGTTTAAATAATAATCAAATTATAAAAAAAATTAAATTTATTTCACGGAATCAATAATAACAAAACGCAGAATATATTTCGTATATTTAATATTTTTTTATATATTATAATATTATTTAATTATTTGTTTATCTAATGTATTCTCACTAATAAAAGAAACAAATAAAATTGTATAATGCCGTAAAAAAATTTCGATTATATAAAATAAATATAGAAATATGATTTATATAATATAATTTTTTGTTAAATATTTACCAACTTGTTGTAAGTTAAATATCACCCAACCATCTTCTACTATATCAATTTGGTTGCCAAGTGTTGATGATATAAGTATTAATCTCTCATCATCAAGCGGAGAAGCAACATTCGTAAAATCAAGATGACTCTGCGTAGTAAACGTTACAGGTATCCATAGCAGGTTATTTTCAAGAAAATCGTAGTTTTCTATTGCTATATGCATTTTTTTTGCAGAATAATTTCGCTCTATTTTCAATGTTGGATAATTCACATACTTTGTCCAACCATTTACTAGATACTTTAAAAAAAGTTTGTCTTTCGTATTGGGATATGTTTCATATAGAGCATCTTGTATAAAGGGAGGATTGCTGGCTTCTGATAAAAGAGACTGCGTAAAGTTACAATCATCCAGTTGGAGAGATTCATATTGAGTTTGAACTATGAGTAAATCCAATATCTCCGAATTTTTGTAATGCTAAAGAGGAAAGTTTCATTATTTTAATGATCAAGTAAATATTTAACTAGTCAAAGGAAATGTGCACATTAATAGGATGCATTAATATTACTCCTGGTTCTATTGCTGAAATTATTATAATTTCAATATGTGTTATTTTTTAACCAAATTTCTATTTTTATTGTAGAATTTATAACAATTTAAAAGTGCCAAACAATCAGCGCATAGTAGTCTCTTAAGATATGAAAAAGATTTATACCAGTTTAAACAGTTTGTACATTTTTTTAATTATAAATATATAGTTCCAGAACTTTCCTACTATCTTGATATCAAGCATTGAATTTAATTGCATATATTCAGCATTAAAGATATTCATTAAGAAAACATAATAACTTCAATAGCATTGACGGCATTCATAACGTCCATTCCGAGCAATGTAATAAGACCATCGTTTAACCACAACTTAGACCACCAAGATGGATTAATTAAATTACCAAACCATTGATATACTATTCCACGTGTTATCGACCATGCCGCTTCTATTTTATGCGCAATAGAATGTAGATTTTCGTTGTAAATAATACTTGTTTCTCTAAAAAAACATAAGAATCAAATTTATAAAACTTAAATAATAAATTTAAGCTCGTATAAATAATAATAATCTTAATGTTTTTTCTGATGTAAAAATAGCAACGTTTTCTGAATCAAACATAAATGATATAACATAAGAATTATTGTACAGATTAATTATGCAATATGATGTGCCGTACATGTTTTATATATACATATATAGTTATTTATTGAAAAGTAATTTTATAATTTCATATAAAAATATATGCATTTCTAAATGTGGTATATGTATTTTGGTGTACGTATTTTTAATTTTGATTAAAGTGCATCGATGTAATCATAACCATCACGAGATGAGCAGGCATAGAAGGAGTAGTGCCGAAGTATGTCCATTGCATACATACTTCTGTATTATTTAATAAGTATTTGTGCATTTTTTCTTGTGCATTTTCTCTTCTCTCTATTGGCATATTTGAGAAAACTGAATAATTACAATGATGCTTTATGGAAACGTTGAAAGTGGCCTTTATTGCCGGCTTATCCCAACATGGGAACAATCGTTGGGCCTCAATTGTCGGGAAATGTGTTTTGTCCCATGATCTACGATATTTTAATGCTATTAATTCGAATGATTATCAACTTTTAATTATTTATAATATTAGAACCATCGCTGACATATATATCAATGATATGGTAAAAAAAAGTTATACCATATACTGTTTTAATGACAAAGGTAATAGAGCAAACATGTCTTGTAAAAAGTAGTAATAAATAATGTTTAATAACACTGTACTTTTAAAATATTAACATTTACTTACTTTTCATTTTCTGATTTCTTTATATATGTAGTTTTTAAGAAAATGTTATCGTCTTCCGAGGTATTAATTGTATTAAGAAATTTTATATTTAATACGTATTTTTTAGGTAATATCTCATATTCGAAATGAAGAACACAATTTTGCGTTACATTATCATATTCAATTTTCTCCGCTAAATGAGGATAATGTTCTTTTAGCTTAAGATTGATATCGTCTCTTTCAATCAATTCTGCTGATAAATAGTGAATTGAATTCGATGAATTTAAACTTATTTTTATAATTGGATGGAAAATATGAATTGTGGCATTGATTTCGCCATAGATGATAATTCTGCCATTTGTTTGATGCTTTTCTATATTTGTTTTAAAGGTTAGATATATATCATCTCTTTCTTCGTCTTCTTTGAAATATGGTATTAACTTGACGTTGTAATGCGTTGGTATTACATAGTTATTATGTGTAACCAATGTATCGATGATATCTTCTGTATTTTCATCGGCAGAAAATGCTATCGCGGTGATAAATATGAAACCGCCATAAAGTAAGAGTCTTAGAAACGTCATATCACTTTTTTTAGGTACCTGCAATAACTTTTTTTTGTTAAAAAAAAACTCAAATATATAATCAAATTTACACAATGAAATTTACAGCAGACAAATCTATAAAATATCAACTTTCTCGGGAGACAGAATTAATTTTCTTGAATGACAACAAATTTCATCTGTATTCAATATTTCTATGATAGATTGACCTACGTTTATCAACATGTTATTTTTAAAATTTGTTGTTTTATTTTTTAGATAAATATGTCCTCAGTGAACTAGTAACACAGAACCAACCAACGGACAATTAAATTTTTTTCAACTTTTTTTGATATTTGTGTTTTCAAACATACATATAACGAACTATATCGAATACGATTTTAATATTCTACTAATATATGTTATATATTACATATATATAAAATATATATAAAATTATACAAATGAAATAAAAGATTCTTAATGAAATGTTGGCAATTTCGGAAAAAAAGATTATTTAAAAGAAATTAAGACGTGCTCAACGCGGTGATACCGTAATACTATTAATTGCGTTCTATTAATTTACTTTCTATGTACCCTTAAAAAGGGAGATACATAATATTCTGTTTTAAGCGACTTACCTTATATATTAAAAATCACTGCCAATAATAATACAGTTCCTTTTTCCTTACAATTAGAAGAATTAATTACAATTGTTCCACGAGCGTTAATATTGTTACATCTTAACCACTTATAGATCTAGACTATCGTAATCTTCCCATTTCGAGAGGTAATTGAGAACTAAGAATGTCGATGTCACACATCATAACAAAATAAGGCTAAATACATAAGACTGTCTTAGAATACCGGTGTAAAAGATATCATAATAAATACGTAAGGTCAAGTCCTACAGAATTTAGGATGGAATAAAATCTATATCTATATTTTAAGAATCATTAATATGTGTCTTAATTTCCGAGTATTTTTATTTTGTTGTTAATTTCATATGTACCTTTTAATAACTAATAAAATAATATTAGAAATAAAAATAATAAATGTTAAACTATATAAAACATTACTTTTTATGCTAATATTATAACAAATATTATATATATAAAATTATAGATTGACAATACTTGAACAGAAATTGTAATATGATAATATTATATAAGAATAATATTTTCAAAATATTGTTGCACTAGTAAATCGTCATCGAATGCTGGAGTGATATTTTTGCGTTTTTAACATCTCGGAGCAGTGCGAGGTGAATTGAGACAAAGCGAAGAATAATGACAGGATTCAAAAGAAACAGCGAGTATATCGTTTTGATCTAGGAACAGATTAAAATGTGAAAAGAAAAATTATCGATTTATTAAAAAATACAATAATATTCAAAAAATATAATGGGAGCAATTAATTCCAAATCTCTTACAAACAAACTAAAACTTTTATTATTGAAGCTTTAATTAGGCATACATAATGAATTATTATATTTGTTACAATATGCTAGCTTTCAGTTCTCGATCCGCATATTTAATGTCGTTTACAGAGCTTTAAATTAATGTTTATGATATATGTAGAACTATCTATGCAAAAATATTCTGAAAGTTGACGGAGTTTCCGATTTTTTGTTATATATGATTAATATGTCGCTCAGTTTTTTATAATTATTTGTCTATACCATACGTCAAATGATCGCGCAAAGAATCTGAAATGGAAGTTACACAAAATAGATGATTTTACGAAAATTACGGTATCGATGTATACAATTTTGCTAAAAGTATGTTCTGCAGACTTTTATAATTTTATTTTCGAATTTTTATTTTTATTTCTCTCTAACATCACGTTGCACTAAACGATATTATGCGCGTCAGTAAGTCGTGATTATTTACCATTATGGTGTTATTAAATTGTGAATTTTGACTTAGTTTTAATATATTGCACTGCACTTTTTTTTATAGTAAATATATCATGATAAGTTAAAATATTTATGAAAAAATTGATAATTTTGTATTCAATCTTTTAAAGTTAAAATATTTTATATTACCTTTCTTCCGCGGCACATACATTTTTAATAAAAAGCTTTTTATTTATTAAAAATGCAATAAATATATGTATATTATTTGAAGACCTTTTAAAGTTCATGTTTTGTTAAGTTTTAAAAAATGTGTAATTAATAAATATTATATGTGTAATTAATAAGTATTAATAAATATTAAAATCAGGCCAGACATAAATTTTTAATAAAAATTTCGTAGAATATAAAATGAATTTTATAATATTTTCTGTTATAATCTATGCTAAATTTAAAAAAATTACGTAATATGTTAACAAAGATTCATTATAATATTAATTCTTTTTAACTTGTTGAAATCAATATTAAATACTTAATAGATTACCACAAACAAAAATATTAGCAATCTATCATATACAGGTTTGCTTGTCTTTTCTCAATTTTTATTAAGTTAAACTATCTACAAATCTGTAGTATGCGATGATATTTAGTATATGTTTCTCGTCAAACTATATGCATTAACAGTTCACAGTGCGTAAAAATATTTTTTTAATCACGCTTTTCATTTTTAACCTATTGTCTTTCAAATTAAAGTCGATTCATGTCTCGCAAATATTAGAAATATCACGACAAAATTATCAAAATCGGTGGTTTTCTATACCTGCATAATTACCCTTATCTTATCATTGAATCGAATTTAAGTTATTGTCTGTAGAAATTTGTCAACACACAAGGCTTATTATTCGAATCACCTGCATAAAGTATTACAGCATTAGATAAACTATCTTTAACAATGTCAATTATTCATCGATTCCGTAGTTTTATATTATTATTTACATTACTAGATTACCTTGAGCTAAAGAGAATCAAGGGAGAGTGAAGCGGATTCATTAGAAGTCCGCCATTTTCAGATAATATTTTAGTAAGAGTATTTATCACACACACACACACACATATACACACACAATTATCATCACACAACATCAATATATATATGTTGATATATACATATATGAGTTGATTTGAAAATGACGAAACCAATCAGAGTAGAGAACACTATTCGCTTCACACTTTCTTGATTCTCTCTGCCGCGCGCGCTTCGCGTGCATCATCAATGTTCTTTTTTATTTGTTATGAACATTAACTATTTTCAGTAATAGATTGCAGATATAAAGGAAACATTCGTGAAAAATAAGAAGCGTTTAGCTTCTTAATAGCGTTTAGACAGTATTTGTACAATATTCACTTTAAGAATTTAATAACAACACTAAAGTTTATAATTAAAGTTAAAAAATACATTTTACAAAGAGATTGAAAGTGTTGTTTAATTCATTGATCCAATTTTAATGTTACAAAAGAAACGTTTGATTTAATCAAGGTTTAATCAAAATATCCTCGAATAAAAAAAAACAGCGGAAATTTTCCAGAGATTATTAACTACATTGCGTATTGCGTATTTATTATGCGACACGTGCATATAATTCATTTACGTAATAATTTTGCATGCAAGAGTAATTACATTGTACTGCACTGAAAATACGTCTATCTCAAAAGAATTTTTCTTATTTATAAGACTCTGATGTACAAGAATAGCCCGATAACCGGATATAAGTGTTGATTAGACATAATATGTATGTACAATCTCTAGCAAAAGGCGTGAATAAAAATGAGGTTCATCTTTAAATTATTGAATGTTTATGGCCAGAATATTTAATCAAAAAAAAGTATGATGCAATAAATTTAAAGATGGCACATTTTTTAAGCTTCATAAACTATCTTAATCATTGCATATCTAGCTAATTATAAATTGAAATAAAAATTATAGTTTCCTCTTATAAAATTGGTAAGAACTGTTTAAAATACTAATTAATTATCTAATTATTTTTAAGTATAACCTTATATTCTTTTTTACAGATAATGTTGATAATAAAAATGTAAAGTAAATTTTCTTCAGAACTTATGCATAATAATAATCTCGTTACTACTAAACGGATCCATAGGTATGTTAACAACTGAAAAAAATTTACCGTCTGTTGAAATTAAATAAATGGAAATAACCAATCTCGTTATGTAGCAAATTATTAAATTATTAGCTCCAAAAATCAAATTGTAGGACTCAACAAAATTAGTTTTTTTGTCAAGCTGATAATGATATTGTTCTCGGCAAATCAATGCTTTGTCTTATCAAGGTGCTTATTTATTGTTATCGTTCTTTTGCAAATACATATCTTGTAAGTCGTCATAAAAATAACTTCATTCTTTGTTAGGACAAGAATATTCCTATCGGCCAAAACGTTACAGTGTCCGACGATATCACTCGCGTTTGAACTTTCGTACTTCGCGTATCGCTGCAATTGCTGAACATTGAACAACAAGCTTCTTCCCAGTAAATTTGACGCGAACGTCTCTCGATTGAGTGAGAAAGCGTGTGGGAAAAGTCAGGAGAGAAAGGAAGGTGAGATAAACGGAGACAGACGGAGTCGCTCGGAAAGCAGACGTATTAAATGGAATTAAACAATTAAGCATTTAAGCGAATTAGCACGGATACGCCCGGAA